AATTCATTATTCATATTCACTAGGTGTTGCATTTGTTTCCAGAACGCAGTGGCTACACGGCATTATTTTCATCTTGCAATTGTTTTATTATTTGTTTGACCTCTAGGTCTCTCCACATAGAATAAAAACCGTGGCCTGTCTTTTCTTCCATCTAACCAGATCCCCACTCCAGCAGTTGACGTACACTGCCATCCTATCAACAAACACGCTTCCCTCTCTCATGTTTTAACCTTCTTATGTTTCTGCATCGCATACTGAGTTTATTCATTCTGGGATATTTACGGTATGGCACACTGCTACTGCACCCAGTTCCTGCACAGGTGTCTTGCTCAGTTGACTCACAAAGCCACGCACAATCTACATGGTCAAAATTACTGCACACAGTTCCACCAACCCCCGATTCTACCATGTAGCACACAGCTCCACTGACACACATTCCTACCGCACGATTTTAACTGCACACAGCTCCACTGACACCCAGTCCTAACGCACAACTTTAACTCCACAGCTCTCTGTCACCCAGTCCTACTGCACTTTAACTGTACGCAGTTCATCCGACACCTGGTCCTACAGTGCGAGTAACACAGTGCGAGAACAACCCCTGCACAAAGTTCAACCATACAGTTCTTACTGTGTGACACAACAGCACAACAGATCTGTTATTTCACTGAATGCTTGCCTGAACTCGCCCCTCTGTAAATGCTGAGTTCTGAGAATGTTGAGGTGTGTTGAGTTCCCAACGGAACTCTCCCCAACCAGCAGCCAGGTAGATTTCCCCAAGCCCTATCTGAAGGTGGTAAAAAACAGTGCTCACCATTAGAAAGCACCAGGTTGCCATCTTCGGAAAGTTCCTTCCTTGGGGAACCCCGCTCACAATGCCAAAAAACTGTTAGAATCCAAACCAGGAGTCAGAAAATATGAGAGTGGGAGTTCAATAGAACCAGATTTATTCGATCTGCAGAAAAGGATAGTGGACGGTGACTAAGTCTACCATCACACAAAAAAATCTCAAAAATTAAAAGCAGACGCAGCAGCTTAAGTTTACCTTATTTGTGTCACAAAAGCTTGTTCATTTTACAACAGGTTATTCGTTCTAACAGATGCTTTTATTATTTGTTAACATATCTCAGGAAGCCAGCCAAGCACATTGTGTCCTCTCTCTTCCAATTACACTTCCTTTGCTTTTCCTTTCCTGAATATCTTATGGGTTTCTTGTTAGAATGCCATTCCCATGCTAAGCTTCTGCCACTTCAAGGATAGGTGTTCAGCCTTCACAGCCCGAGTTTTTCAGTGCTTAAAAATGGGGGTTTGGTATTTGGGACACTCACCTGCACAGTGTGTGTTATTGATTCCCACTTCCCATATAATTGCCTGCTTGTAAACTGCAAAATTTCACAAAGAAGTCAAGCTGTATTTTGTGCAGTTTTCTGTAGGCTGAATCTTCTGGCCTGAACTTTTTCATATAGCTAAAGACATTTATCCCATTGTAATAATTCTTCAGGCAGTGTATTTAATTTCATTTTTAATGCTACATATTGTAATTGAACAAAAATCTATATTTGCATGGTGGCACAGTGGTTGCCACTGCTGCCTCTCAGTACTGCAGATGGGGTGGACATGATCTGTACGATGGAGTTTGTAAGATCTCTCTATGCTAGGGTGGGGTTTCTCTCACAGCCCAAAGTCATACTGGTAGGTTATTTTGGCTTTTGGAAAAATTGGCCCTGCTGTGAGTGTGTGCATGTGTTTGTGTGTGTGCTCTGTGATGGACTGACGTCCCATCAGGGGTGTACCCTGCATTCCACCTGTTGCTTGCCAGTATAGGCTCAGGCTCCCCTGCGATCCTGAACTGGATAAAATGGTTAGAAAATGGATGAATGGAAAAGTATAGAATATCCATTCCAATCAAGACCATATACAAATGATAAAATATTTAAATTGATCCAAGAGCTGTGAAGAAAGTTAAAGTATCTCTCATTTTGTTTAACATGACAGATTTCCACTTTAACCCAAGACATCTACTCTCTTTTGGCATATTAAAGTGTAAGTCGGTATGACTTTGGATTGTGAGAGAAAACCCACCCAAACATAGAGAGAACTTACAAACTGCATTGTACAGACCATGTCCACACTAATTAAAAGCATCATTCCCTAATTGTTCTGCATGATATACACTGTATAAAGTATGGCCACAATGAAAAAAGTTTAATAGAAAAGAATCATTTGCTGCCATTGTAATTAAGCAAAGCAAAGGTTTTTGACATCTAAAAACACTGTGAAATATAAATACAGTAAGTATACACAGAATACTAATGAATTAACAATTCCCACAAACCTTTCACCAGATGGAAAATGTATATTGATTGCTAAAAACAAAAGTTACAGACATCTTGGAATGAAATTATAGTTATGTGCGGGACAGCTATTGTTCAAGGAACTAGAAGGTTGGTAGAGGATACCTCTCAACTGCTTGTTATTGATTTAAAGACAAAAAAAATATATTTACCCGTGCAATTACAAAACCTACCCCCAGAAGTTTCAGTTTTATGAACAATTGATTACTTCTGAAACCTGATAACCACAAGGGACAAAGCTCTTTTCATATATTATTGTGATTCTGCAAAGTTGATAGACAAACAAACAGTTTGCCTAAATTTAAATTGCAAAAAGAATAATGTAATCATTGTTTGGTAATGATTCGAGACCCCCCCCCCCCCCCAAAAAAAAAACAAACAAAAACTCAAGTATAGAAGACTCAAATATATAATCCAAATGATTAATAATAATTATTATTCATATCAAATACGAATACCTGTAGTTTTAGCTGGATCAACTTTGGTGTTTGATCAAACAGTTACAATACAATGCCAATCGAGAATTATTTTGAATACATTATACATGTATGAATCGTTTACTAAAAGGCAGCAACAAAAAATCCCATTTAAAGCCGCTGCAATGCTGTGCAATATCATTGCTCCCATAAGGTGGCGCTATAGCGACTTGTGTTCCGAACCGAATTCCATTTCCCTCTTTACAGGTCCGTGCGATAATCAGAGCTGTGAGAATACGTGCCTCTTGGATTGCTGTGAGGTTCACAGTTCTGTCATACATTTTACACACATTCACTTAATTCTTGTACTGCCCTCTCAACTGCTAAAGAAAATATCATTGTAAATAATAAATTAGAATGATTACACTACATAAGTAGCACTTTTTCTGGAGACTACACTCCCAGCACTTCACAGGTAATGGGGACTTCTCTCCACCACCACCAACGTGTAGCAAGCCACAGCTGGTTAATGCTTCATTAATCTGTCTGATGGCAGCCAACGTGTGTCAGAAACTCACTACAGATCAACTATCAGTGGGGAGGAGAACAGTGTAATGCAGCCAATTTATAGATGGGGATTATTAGGAGGCTGTGATTGATAAGAGGCCTCCAGTATAGTACATGACTCCTCCCATAAACTCTTTGCCCTCCTACCATCTGGAAAAAGATATTGCAGTGTATGGGCTAGCTCCACTAGCTGTAACAGCTTCTTCCCACACGCTGTCAGGCTCCTCAACACCTTGGAATCTACTTGCACCTGAGTTTAAATCCCCCCAGTGTGTTGTGTATATTGTATTATGTATTTGCCTTGTAATTTGCACTATATGTATCCCGTCTACAATGTCTATGTCAGTGTTCTGTCTGTATTTGCACCGTGGACCAGGAGGAATTATATTTAGTTCCACTGATATTTAGTTCCACTTATGCCAGCACCCATATCACTCTGCAACTCACAACTCACAACTCACAACTGGCAACCTATTGCTGCTAAGCAGGTGTGAGCCTGCTCAGTACCTGGATGGGAGACCTCCTGGGAAAAACTAAGGTTGCTGCTGGAAGAGGTGTTAGTGGGGCCAGCAGCATACTGGGGCCAGTTCTAATGCCCCAGTATAGTGATGGGGACACTATACTGTAAACAGGCGCTGTCCTTTGGATGAGATATAAAACCTAGGTCCTGACTCTCTGTGATCATTAAAAATCCCAGGGGGTTTCTCGAAAAGAGTAGGGGTGTAACCACATCCTCCTGGCCAAAATTCCCAATTTCCCTTACCAATCATGGCCTCCTAAGTAATGGCTTCATTACTCTGCTCTCCTCCCCACTGATAGCTAATGTGTGGTGAGCGTTCTGGTGCACTATGGCTGCCGTTGCATAATCCAGGTGGATGCTGCACAATGGTGGAGGGGAGTCCCCATTACCTGTAAAGTGCTTTGAGTGGAGTGTCCAGAAAAGTGCTATATAAGTGTAAGCAATTATTATTACTGTATACCTGTACATGGCTGGAGTGACAAATAAACTTGAATTTGAACTTGACAAGGGCCGGGGGGAATTTGGCCGGGACACCAGGGCGGTCACACTCCTAATTTTTCTGAGAAAGGCCCTGAAGTTTTCAACGATCACAGGGAATCACAGCCTCGTTTTAACGCCTCCTCTAAAGAACAGCAGAGATACTGTGCCATACTGTGGCTTTAGCACCCACAAAGACCCGGTGAGCACCCCCTACTGGTCCCACTAAAACCTCTCCCACCAGCAACCATAGCCTTCCCAGGAGGTCTCTCATCCAGGTACTGACCAGGCTCCATGTGCTTAGCTTCAGTGGGCTGCCAGTTGCACGATGATATAGCTACTAGAACTATAAAAACTAAACAGCCGTTTCGATGTAGAATAACACTGGTCGTGTGCATTTATCTAGGAATGTGGCAGGCGTTTGTTAAAGCTTAATTTAATATTTCATCTTTTATTAAATGTTTAAAACGTAGCTTGTTCCTTTTTTTAAAGTTACGGATAACTTCCTGTTCACAGTATGAAGAGAGAACGAGAACACGCTTTCTTACTCGCCCTGAAGAGGGAAAATACAGACCTTCGTGATACGTCTACACTGGTAGCGCTTATGATACAGCTGTACCGTTTTGCTTTTAGTAATTGATATTTAATACTAGAGATACAATAATGACAGACATTTGCCTATAATTTATGACTACTATTGAGGGAATTTCTGCAAGGGGCACTCCAATCAAAAAGGTTTGAAAACCCCCATGCTACCCACTGTTCCTGAAAGCGCTTGATGTCACATGCGTAACTTCCGGCTCTTTAACATAAATTGTACGGAAAGCAAGCGAAAAAAGAGAAGGTACCCGGAGAGGAATCAAACTAAGGACGCGAAAGGGGACACACACTGTGACAGGTAAGTACCAACGTGTAGCAATTATGTTTATTGAGAACATGAAAATTTACAGTATTTAAATGCCTTATTTAGGGAAACGGTGCCAGATAGGACATAATTGTTTAAAGTACATCACCTTGTTCCTTTGCATTACAATCCGGATAGTACCAGGAATACGTTCGGAAATATACAGCGAAATGAGAATGCGCATTTTACTGAAATATAGCATAGAAATTTATAAAGATTTTGCGGTCGTCGGAGATGTCATGGACTTGGACACTTTCAGTTAGTGTTTCGAAACCATGAAGGGATCCCTGGTACTTTCGGTAACATGTTAGTTTCAGCCACTAGTTAAACATGATAAGAATAACACTGTCAAATTGAATATCTTACTTTTATAGCAGTAACTTAATTCTAGATATTTTCCCTATAATGAGCAAGAATGTTTCCTGCGTTTTAAATATAGATTTAGCTTGCTTACCGCTTACGAAACAGACTGCATACGAATTTCTCATGTATGAAAGGTGAGATTACTTTACCTACAGATGAGAAACATTAAGGGTTACTTTAATGTAAATACGAGAACAATATTAATACTAGAAGCTGAAGTGTATACTTTGGCTTTTGGTGTACTTACAGTGTATTGAATTTGGCGGTGTCGGTAATCCAGCTTTCAACACTTTCAAGCGCATGGTGCCGTTGGACATTTAAGATCTAGTTGGGTTTTCATTTAAAATATTAAAGAAAATTCTGCAATAGCACAAGATGTTTTATTAATAGGTTATTGGTGTTATGTCTTTAACAACAGAGACATCAGGGTTCTTAGCATTAGGGTCTTAAAATTCTATTGAATATTTAACCAGGTAAATCAATAGACAGACCTTTTTCTTATTTACTGTCTGGAAGTGCCAATTCATTATTTTGAATACCTTGCTCAATGGTACAACTGTGATGGGATTTTAACTTGCCATCTTCCAGTTAAAAATCCAGAGCCCCTAAACACTAAACTGAAGAACAACAGGAGTTTTAACTGAGGCATGTTTATCTAAATGCAATTTTATGTAGTGTTGTCTCTTTGTAGGAACAATAGATATACATAACATTATTTTAAGAAAAGTCTGCCCTCTACAAAATTTGGAGAGTTTTATAGGTTAAGTAGTTGAGCTGTTATGGCTCTGGTATTGGCTGTATCTAACTTTGCTTACAGTAAATTAAAAATGACCAGTGTGTGAGTTTATTATAGGTCTGTAATAATAGGTTAGAGTCTGTAAGACCTCTACCAATGTTTTTAGTTTTATTACAGTTTTAAGTTAATCTTATTGGAAGATACCAGATTAGTTAAAATTATGTTGCTCCTTTTCAAAATAGGTTTCATTTTGTGTCACTTATTATGAATTTGGTTTGTGTGACATTTTGCAGTGTGAAACTTGTTTTTAGAAGGATCAAATGTTTGTTTGTTTTTTGAAAAGGACACGTGTTACAGGTTCAAAGTGTGGGAACAAGGGCTGTGATTGATCGGGGTATGTTGTTGCTAAACAATTAACCTAGTGCTCATGCAACTACACAATATTGATTTGTATGCTTGGACACGTTTAAGTTCTTATTAAATTCTAACAATAATCTACATGTTAAAGCGAGAGTAAGGATTATTTTATCCAGTAATTTATTAGTTTAGATCTTAGGTTGCCAGGTGTGTTAAGAGACTGTAAGGGAGTGCCGCATTCCTGGGCTGTACTTTGTGTCCCTTACACTATTCATGATTTGCTTTGATGAACAATGTACTATCGGCTGGTTACTAACAAATCTAGCAGCTAGGTTCAGTACCCTTGTTTAAATCTTAGGTACACATCATTTCTCATCTAAGTCTCTTACACCAGAATTCCCTAGTCTTCATAAAATGCAGTGCCCACTCACAACACCTACCTCGTTGAAATTGCTGTTTGTGTATGTATTTTAGTGTAGTCAAGAATGTATTTCATAAATGACTATGATAATATTTTGAACAATTTTCAAAACTCTGTGAACAACAAAATCTACAAAGCTAGTTTGAGATGTGAGTAGTAGAATCCCTCTAGTACTCAGAGTGAAATGTCCAATTTAACTTAAGCAATTTGCTTTACCCCTGTTGCTACCCATTTCATTCTTGTCATGTGGTTAAGCATCCATAGTTTCCTTACAGCATTACAGCATGAAGATTTTTCATTGTGCCTGACCTGCATGTTCTTTGAGTGTGTCTTTTGCATGAGAATGTTAAATAATACAGCTGACTTTCAAAATGTTACAGTCCAGATCCTACAGAGTTTGGGGAATTTAGAACACAGTTAATGGAGTAGAGAGCAAAATGTAAAGTGACACACTTCAAAAACTAATGAAGGTGGCAGTTTGATGATTACTGTATATACTTAAGCAGGATAAACTATAACTGCAGTTACAGCAATTTATAGTACGACTGCATGGATAGACCTAAATTGATTTGAGAGGAGTACTTTTAAAAAAAACTAATTCATGCTATAGTCAGTGAATAAAAATAGTTTACTTTAAAATGGATATAGGACTGATCTCAGGGAAACAAGATGTTGTTCTCTTCAATGCACCTTTATACTGCCCATACAAATACCTTTTTATGGGAACTTCTCCAACTATGAAACAATACTCGCTGAAAAATGAATTTCCCCTTTGAGTGTATTAAAAGGGGAATTGTGATCCTCTTGTTCCTTTTTTATTTATTTTTTGTCATGTATTGTATATCTTATAGCCCAGAACTTAACATATTATACAATATGTAAGAGAAGAATTAACAATATATTGAAAACCTACTTTAACTTTTTAGTGAACATAAAATAAGAATTTGAATAATGCATAATTACAATATTTCTGTTGTGCTTATTAACTTTGAAAGCCTCAAAGATTATCAGTCTTTATATTGTCATATATAATTGTTATATTGAATGTGTCCCTGTAATGGAAATAGTTTAGTTCTAGTTGATGATTAGAATATTCTATTTATAAGGACTGCATCAACTGGGCCATTTCTGTCAGCAATACTTTAATTCCTGTCAGTTTGATCTTAAAGTTCAAGATAATGCAAAAACTTTGAACTGAGAAAAGCTGTAGGTGTACAAATTTTCCAACATAGGTCTGAGGGATTCACCCGAAAGCAGAAGAGTGTCAAGTGCTAACATTGCTAACATTCTGTGTAGTATTAAATGTGTGGGCTATGGTACTGTACTCCATAATATTTGCAAGATCTTAAAGCAAGGGTTTAATTACTAACTTTTTCTCTGAGCAGGACATCTGCCTCTCACAGGTCACGCTGTCTAAACATTGCTAGAGGGAGAGACTGCACATTACTATTCTTGCATGGCTCGGCTTTTCACTGGATGTGACCCTCATTGGGCAAGTGTGGGCTGTTCTGGACAGTTCGCTGTGAAAGAACTCCATTAATCCACTTCCCAGCATTCCCCGTTGCATGTTAACAACACTGCTGTTCCTTTGTATAAGGCGAGCAACACAATGTACTCTCCACCAAACCAGAATACCGAGGTTGTTTTTGGCAGTTACAACTCAGAAATCGTAAATTTAAGCCACAGGTTATTAAATTTTTGACATGGTGTACTAAATATGCTCTCCCAAGATTTTCAAACGTGGTCCTTACATTTTCTGAACATTTAATGACTGAACGGAGAAACGAAAAGTTCTCTAACGAAAAGGATTTTTTTTTAGTTTTCTTCTCATTTCAGTCGCAGTTTTTTTTTCCTGGCTTTTTCCCTACACATCACTTTCACAATGGAAGGTGTGGCGAGACAATGAAGCTTTCGATGGCTAGACGGGCTTCTGAAACGCAACTCAAAGGAATGCTCAAAGCAGCAGATTCCCCCGCCTACTCTTTTTTTTTTAAGGCTTTCATTTCTGCTTTGTCTACTACTGTACGAAAGTGTCAGCGGCACACGTGCGCATTTGTGCAAGCATTGGACTTCGCTGAAAGTATAAAACATTGCGTTGAAACTCTCACCGAAATGTATAGCACATTTTAAAGCCGTAATGCAAAGAAACAAGAAATAAGCACCAACAAGAGAGAAACAGGTTTTCTTCTTATTTTCAGTTTTTAATTAACCATATTTACCGTAGCTTTAAAATTATTTATTGGGATCTGTCCATGTTATGTAATAATAGTAAACTCGGAATACGCCCAAGCAGAGTATAGACTAAACCTCATGACTGTCTCATTATTTGATGTGCCGAGCCTAGTCTTTATTGGCTGCCACAGCAGCAGAGTATATCACATGCCTCCTGCCTCACATGGAAATGACAAGCCCTGCATGTGATCTTTCTTAAAGACACAGTACTTCGCCAATATATTCTGCTCCCCCAGGTATATTCCCAGATATAAATGGGAATCTTATCTTAGAAATCGAATATAGTTGTTTTATGAACACTCTCTAGCTAGGGACCCAAACTCTAAAAGTCTAATACCCATAATAAATCCTAAATATGGATTTATATAATTTTACATTTTCAACGTGCTAATTTCTCCTGTGCTTATTACAGGCAGTTCTCTCTTCAGATCACCAGACCTCCCAAGAAACCTCTGCAAGATACATTATGGCTAGCGCTCAACATGATAGCGATATTGAATCGGACAACTGTGTGGACATGTCGGCCATGAAGATGCGATTGCGGTCCTTCTCAAATTTCCCCTGCATCGACGTGGTGTCCCCTCAGAGGTTAGCCCGGGCAGGATTCTATTTCACTGGTGAGGCTGACAAGGTGCAGTGCTTCAGCTGCAATCAGACGGTGGAGAACTGGCGCAGAGGGGATGCCCCTGTGCAGAGACACCATCGGGTGTCCCCCAATTGCAAGTACCTCTGCTGCACACATCTGCTCCCTTCCCAGCATGCTGCTCTCAGTGAATTCCCGAGGCCAAGCCCTGATGACAGCCCCGATCCTTCGGCCAATGGCTCTTATGATGAAGAAGCAGAAGATCTGGAATACCGCCTGAGAACGGGAGAGATCGTGGACAACTCCACCTACCCAAGGACCCCTCACATGTGCAGGGAAGATGACCGCTTGAAGACATTTGAGAAATGGCCTTCGTCAGTCCCTGTGAGGCCGAGACAGCTGGCTCAGGCTGGTCTGTACTACCTCGATGTACAGGACCGAGTACAATGTTTCTGCTGTGGAGGAGTATTGGGAGGCTGGGAACCTCAAGACGAACCTTGGAAGGAACACGAGAGGCACTTTCCGAATTGTTTCTTCATCCTCGGTCATGATGTTGGCAACATACCTTCTGAGCTGCCTCCTGAAAGTGCTAACCATTCGCATACATACATGGAGTCCTTTGAGGATCGTCTCCGAAGTTTTGCTAGTGTGCCTCATCCCATTGACCCTGAGAGGCTTGCCCGAGCAGGATTTTATACTGAAGGTGCTGTACAAATTTATCTGAGCAAATTCAGTAGCATTGCAAAATACTAACGTATTTAACATATTTCCAAATATGTAGTTAATAGTTATCTATGATTCTTCTCTAAGCCATCAGGTCAGAATGCAAGCTTGCTCTATATATGTTAAGACACTTGGAAGGCAACAAGAAATGTAGGCTTCACAACTGCATGAGTAAGCACATGCAGTTTGTATAGCTGTTAAAAAATCCATGTATTGGCTAAAGAAAATGAGTACATTTTTGGATAGCTTTGTCCATTACCGGTGTTGAATAGTTAACAACGAATGATGAAGTAAAGTGTTAACCCAGAGTATGACATTTTTAATCTGCATAAATGAGTCTGAGAGAAGAAATGTTATATTTGCCCTCTGTGCGTTTGAAGGCTTACATGTAGCTGTGCAATTTCAGGTGTTCAGGACCGTGTGATATGTTTCAAGTGTGGAGGAGGCTTAAAAGACTGGCAGTCGGATGAGGAGCCCTGGGAAGAACATGCCAAGTATTACCCTGGGTAAAAACTGCATAAGTTATTAAAATTAGTTATTTTTATTGCTTGTTGTTTCACATGAGGCATAGTTCATTCCAGGTGCAAATAAAAACGATTCCAGTGTCAGAATTTTACTAAACCTACTTTTTATTTTCCAAACAAACAGATGTAGCTTTGTGCTTATGGAGAAAGGCCAGCAGTTTGTGAACAGCATGCAGTTGCGAGACCACAGAAGAAATTTTCCTGTAAGTATGGATGGCTATGATTTCTTATTGCACTTTCTTTACCTTACACTTTTGGAATGTAAAAACTATTATGAAGTTTGTCTAGCATATCCACTGTAGAGTAATATGTCTGGAGTTTTAATGCATTAAAAATAACCTGTTTATACAAATTTCTGTCTGCTATAATGAACCTATGTATTTGTATACATATTGTATATTTGTAAAATATTACCCTTAACAATTAAAAAATAAAAAAAAACATTCAATTTTTACGTTTGGGGGGGACAATTAAAATGTTAAATATCTGTTTCTATTTTTTTAGAAGTATTTGAGTTATTTTCTAATACTAAAAACTATTTTTTCATGCTACAAATTAGGTTTTTAAACCCATATTTTTAAGGTTATTTTAACATGACATGAATTCTTCTATAAATTTCAGAAACTTAGTAATTTAGATTTGAGTGCTATGACTTTGTTTTCTTTTTCTATCTGAGAAGTAATGATAGGTCTGCTCTGTACAGTGAGTGAATTATTTGTACAAATTAGCAAAAGGGTGCTACCATAAAGTAGCTTCCATTCACCCTTTTGCTAAAGCTAGCAAGGAAGTGAAGGGAAATAAAATGCTTGGAATATTTTGAATACATTGCATGTGTACTTGTGTATAGTTTGTTGAAGGGCTAGAAATGTAGCATTGCAGGACTGTAGAAAAAGGTAGCCCTTTTTTGAAGTGATGAGTGTGAGATACAGTGCCTTGCAGAAGAAATCAGGCCCTTGCAGTTTTCACATGTTGTTCCTTGGCTGTAGTCATGACATTTTGATGTTTCAATTAATATTTGATATATGCATAACCTATAAGCAACTTGGGCACAAAATTGTGTGAAGACGCAGATCAAGAAAAGGTTATAAAAACTTTTTAAATGCCCATAGCTTGACATGGTGAGTTTGATCATTAACAAATTGAAGGTACCAGGATGCTGCCTAGATCTCTGAGAACTGTACGGCCAGGAAGAAAGAGGTGGTTAGGGGATGCTACCATAAAGTCAGTAGTAACTTTGAAAAGTTGCAGGGTTCAGTGGGTGAAATATCCATGGGATAACAATATCCCAGTCAATCCGTAGAGGAGTCTTGAATGGAAATTAAAGAAAGATCTAAAATCCTATTTATTCTAAATACTGCAGAGTTTTTGTGGACAATACAAAATTGGAACCTTTTGGTTTAAAAGCAGAGGGTTACAGTACATCTAAAGCAAACCTATCATGGTGCATCATACAGTCAACACCATCCCTACTGTCAGGCATGTGACAGACAGCATAATGTTATAGTTCTGCTTCTCATCAGCAGGGGCTGGGAAACTGGCCAAGACTAATAGGAACATAGGAATAAGCTACACAGGAGTGGCTTAAGAATAAGAAAGTGAATGCCCTTGAGTTGCCCAATCAAAAAGTCCTGACTTGAGTCCTATTGAGAACCTAGGAAAAAAAACATTAAAACGTTTCTTCGTAAGTGATCCCCAAGTAACACGAGAGAACCTAAGCAAATAAACCAAGAGAAAGGGCAAATATTGCACCTAGCCAGTCTCCAGAGGTAGCCCAAAAGTTGTGCAGCTGGTATTGCTGCCAAGGCTGCTTCCACCAAATTTGTAGCTCATGGGTAATCTAGTATGAAGGTTTCCATCGCCAACTTTCATTCCTGAAAATCCCACTGATTGGTAAATCCTTGAGTTCCGATTCCCATAGTGCGTTATTCATCTCAACATTGCATTAATCATCACAAATATCATACAATAGAAGTATACTCCACCGCATGAAAGAATTTTCAATATAATTAAATGTTAAATTGAATGCTATGTGCTTTGAATCCTGAGAATTAAAAATAGAAACTTGCATAGAGAATTAAAATGAGATGCTAGCCAGCAGCTATATCACTCTTTAACTCGCAACTGGCAACCCACTGAAGCTAAGCAGGTGTGAGCCTGGTCAGTACCTGGATGAGAGACCTCCTGGGAAAAATTAAGGTTGCTGCTGGAAGAGGTGTTAGTGGGGAGGTGGAAGAGGTGTTAGTGGGGCCAGCAGGGGGTGCTCACCCTGTGATCCCTGTGGGTCCTAATGCCCCATTATAGTGACGGGGACACTATACTGTAAAACGGGCGCAGTCCTTCAGATGAGACGTAAAACCGAGGTCCTGACTTGCTGTGGTCATTAAAAATCCCAGGGTGTTTCTCGAAGTGTAACCCTGGCGTCCTGGCCAAATTTCCCATTGGCCATTACCAATCATGGCCTCCTAATAATCCCCATCTATGAATTGGCTTCATTACTCTGCTGTTCTCCCCACTGATAGCTGATGTGTGGTGAGCATTCTGGGGCACTATGGCTGCCGTTGCATCATCCAGGTTGATGCTGCACATTGGTGGTGGTGGAGGGGAGTCCCCATTACCTGTAAAGTGCTTTGAGTGGAGTGTCCAGAAAAGCGCTATATAAGTGTAAGCTATTATTATTATTATTATTATTAAACGTAGAAGATGAATAACTGAACCCCTAGCTCTGTGAAGAGACGTATGCAAGGGTGATGTGTGAGGGAGGGAATAGACGACAAAGAGTCATGAGTCTGTGGAAAATCCTGTGCTTAAGTTTCTATTTCCAGACCTGTGTATGAGCAAGGGATTTCTTGCATTCGGGAAGAGAATTCATAACAAAACTAAAGCGCTAACCATTCCTGAAAGACAGATATTTCAGATTTATCTTCTAACTACTTTATCTAATACAGGGTCATAGGGGAGCCAGAGCCTATCCTGGCAAGGAACATGCAGGATACACCCTGAATACACCAGTCCCATCACAGGGCACGCACGCACACACACCAGGGCCAATGTTCCCAACAGCCAATTAACTCTGCTGTGAGAGGAAACTAGAGCACCCAGAGGAAACCCACACGAACACAGGGAGAACATCCAGACTCCATGCAGATAGAACCTCGAGTCTGGAATTGAACCCAGGGCCCCAGCACTGAGGCAGCAATGCTAACCACTGAATTATGAGGATTATAATTTCAGGTTTCCCTCACCAACTGCAATACCCACGGTTTCCATATTGAGTACCACTCAGGTTTTAAATAGAATATTACATTTAGAAATGTATGCGTAATTTTGTATTTTTACCTAGGAAGGGTCATTTACTTTTGCAAGGCACTGTATATCACTCTTCTCCATTATTCCTGACTGGGTCCTGACTTGTTGATCCTGCAATCATTTTTTACTAGCTAACTTCAGACAATATTTTGTATACTTGTGTTTTGTAATATTTTGTAATACTTTTTTTTACAGGATGAAGATGATGAAAACAGTTTATCTGTATCTGAACAAGGTATGTTATGACTAAATTTTATTCCACTGAAAATTAAAACAAATATTTCCTTCATCTCCTTCAACATGCAGTTGAACCTCATGAGTCTTCATTTATTTAGACATAAATATTCAGTGGGGACCTTAAAGTGTTAAAACGCTGGAATTAAAAGTTGTTTCTCTTGGTAAGTGGTATGCCAGAGTTAAATCTCAAACTAGTGTAAATGTTTCTCACTCAATTGAAAAGTATTTTTAAATAAAAACAATCTCCTCTTCTGTAATGTCGCAGAGTCTGATGTTATGCTCTCTGAGGTGGCCCAAAGAGCTTTAGAAATGGGCTTGGATGAGACCCAGGTGAAAACAAAAATCTTGGAGAAAATCCGTACAACTGGAGAAGGGTACAAATCTGTGCAGCTTCTGGTTGAAGACCTTCTGAATGAAGACGTGGAAAGTGATTCTGAAGAGACGCCTGAAAATGATGGTATGTTTTTTTTTTAAGAAGACATTTTTTTCTTTCTATTGTGGGAAGAAAGATTAGTATTAGATGTAATATTACAATAAATCAAAAGTAACTCCAGTGGTTTTAACTGAAATCCTGGATGACCCAAACAAAGATTCCTGTTTTGTGCTTGTGGTTAGCTGGCATATCCCGCACCGATCCTAGTGTTGTAGTCTCCCTCTTGTGGAATACAAAGGCATTTATATCCCAGTGGTCAGAAATAATATGTCTGGAGTTTTAATGCATTAAAAATAACCTGTTTATACAAATTTCTGTCTGCTATAATGAACCTATGTATTTGTATTTGCAAGTCCAAGTTCTTTCTGTGACCAGTTCGAAGTCTTTATGTACTGCATAGGTCTGGAGGTTTTTTAGAAGTATTTGAGTTATTTTCTAATACTAAAAACTATTTTTTCATGCTACAAATTAGGTTTTTAAACCCATATTTTTAAGGTTATTTTAACATGACATGAATTCTTCTATAAATTTCAGAAACTTAGTAATTTAGATTTGAGTGCTATGACTTTGTTTTCTTTTTCTATCTGAAAAGTAATGATAAGTCTGCTCTGTACAGTGAGTGAATTATTTGTACAAATTAGCAAAAGGGTGAAAACTGTAATGTTAAATGCAGTTTCCTTGAACATTATTAAGACGGTATACACCTGGGCAGTCCCAATGTGCAGAAGGATTAGAAAAGTCTGGTAAAGCTGGTAAAACCTGCCTCTGCTCACTCTCCCTCTGTGTTACATTGGCAGAAGACCCCATGGAGAAACTCCGAAAGCTGCAGAGAGAGAAGCAGTGTAAAGTCTGCATGGACAGAGACATTGCCATAGTCTTCATCCCCTGTGGCCACCTGGTGACCTGCAAGAGGTGCTCCGACTCCCTCAGTAAATGCCCCATATGCTGTGCAGCTATAGTACAGAAAGTCAAAACCTACATTTCGTAATTTTCATTAAAACAAGATTTATTTTATAACAAATGGATTATAATGACCCAAGTGATCCTTGCAATCCTGAGCAAGATTGTTTTGAAGTGATATTATATTCTTTTTGAATCCCTTTGTGGAGTAGATCTGAATTTGGTCAGACTCAAAAACTTTTTGTTTGAACAAGGGTGGCAGTGGATAGGGCCTTGTGTTTTGACTTTTTGAATGGTAAGTCAGTCATTTATAAGCTGATTTTAACAATTTAAAATATAACTATTTTTAAAACATAAAAGGAGGAAATATATAGATTATTTATATTATGTTTTCCAGGTTTTTTAATCTGTTATTTTAACTTTTCGTATCATAAAGAACAGATACTTCTGATTTATATTTTTACTAGTGGGTTATTGGGATTAATTTCCATATAGCACTTTAGTGTTGGAATTTGTGTGTGTAAATATATAAAGAACATTAATGATTATATATAAATTTATTAAAGGAAGAACAATACAATGTATATTTTGTTTTTAAGAAATTCAAAAGAAATAAAATTTCAATGAGGTCTATATCAAATGTAGCTTTAAGCCAACAGTTGAAACTACAGACATAATTTTGTAGCTCTTTGTTAAATTTGAGCATTTTAAAATAGTAATAATGTGATAAACGTTTTAAAAAAGCCTTTAAATCTTTTGGTGTAATTTACATGCATACAAATATAACCGTACTCTTCATCTACAGTGTATATACAATATAAAATAATGGTGTTGAATAGGTTGCACATACTCTTGATTAAATAAGATGGCAGTTTGCCTTGGTACAGGAGAGAATAATGTTACTTAATTGTACGCCATGTCTGAAATGATGATGATGATGATGATGATGATGCTGCCTCTAAGGTGATCTATAAATCAGAATTTGTTTTCAAACCATTTTTGTAGTAACATGAATCCAACTACATTTTGATTTTCCAAAACTGACCATCATTGACCTATAGAGAACACTAAACAGAGTTTAATTCCAAGTAGAAAAACACTTTTTTTTGTGTGTATAAATTTGTTGTTTTTCATTTGCATAAAAGTACACCTTTTAAACAGGATAGAAGGTAGGTGGGTGTGCTGTAACCGGGAGGTTTCATGAGGAGAATTAGATGTGTGCCTGGAATATACACCTTACTGTGCATTTGTACTGTACACCTTTAAAGATGAACAATTTATTGTGTTAAATATTAAAATATGGGGGCTTTTATTTGTCATTTTGAAGAATAAATACTTCTGAACTACTCAGTGCACTTTGTTTCTTGTGTCTGATGGTGGAGATGCGTTCTGCTCTTGCTCTGTTAGGTTTGATGTACCCTGCACAGGAAATCCACAACTGTTTATCTGCACGGCATTAGACACTGTGCCTTACGTTTCTGTACTCTTCACATTCCCTGTTGCAGAAATCAATTTTCAGCCTCCTGGGTTGCTTGCTGTAGCATGTTGCTTTTACTTTTGTGTCTGATACTAAAAAGAATAGGAATTTCAGACACAAACTGTTTCTTTAAGAAAAAATATGATGACCTCTTGGCTAAAATATTTTTACATTCACTACTAATATTAAAGCTTTCTTTTCTAATTTTTCTTCTGTTTGTGGTCTAAGCATGGCTTGAAACCCAGGTGATGGAAAGATAACCGTTAAAACTTTAAATGGAATGCATAGCTAGTTTTTTTTTTATACTACTGTATTCAGTCTTTAAATTTGTATAATGAAAAGCACGCTAACATTTTGTAGTAAAAAAAAATGTTGATCAATAGATCTTGGTTTTCAATGCACCTATAAGAGTATCATACTATAATTCCTTATAGTTGAGTTTATTAATACTATTGAAAACCTTTCTGAGAACCACTAGTACAGAAGGAAAAAAATCTTTAATATCTTTTTTTTTTCTTTCTCTAAAATAGAGAAGAAATTGTGTAGCGGATAAAAGTCACAGTGGTTGATTTTATTTTAAAATTAAATAGTATTTTTTATACAGAAAGCAGACACATCCTGCCATTAAAAATCAATACTTTTTATGTGTGCCATCAGTACATAAAGACTATATGGAGAAAAGAGGGGAACTAACGTTTAAGCAAAACTATGGTATGAAATGTGTTCACAGGTTCAATTATCATTTTGCAGAAAATCAGTGGGCACTTAAAAAATTAGTTTAAAGCTTAAGTGGTGTTTTCCATTATTGAAAAGTTCCTAAAGAGTGCTTCAGAGGTGCTCTTCTCCCATGAGATCACTACTCTTTTGTATAACATAATGGACAAACTCGTATTTCCAGCTTGCAGGATCTGGATTTATTGTTAAACCTATTATAAATGTTTTACAATGGATGCTTTTAAAATAGTATTTCACTCCACAAAGTAATATTTAAGGTCTGTTTGCCAATTGTCAGAAGCAAACATCTCAAATTGATTGTTCTCAGTGGTCTGATGTTAGGCTAAACAGCCATTCCTCAGTCATTATAAATACTACCTGTAAAAAGCACAGGTACAATATATCTTGTATATAACTCCTAATTTAGCTGTAATGATTAATACTTTTAAGGAAGGAGGAAAACTTTCCCTCACAGGATAATTATCTAAAGCTTGTTCTAGGTTTAAGTTTTTTCCAACTTAAGGTCAACTATATGCTCAAACTCTTTGAACCATTACATTGATCTAATTTTTTCCATTTTGATTTGTTTGTTCCCCTTCATAAACTTTAAAATTACTAGATTTATTAAAATTATTAGAATAGGTTAAAGTTTCAGAATTGGAGGTGTAAATAGTTTTGTCTCAATCACAACCTATTACTCAAAAGTCTAGAAACTGTAATTCAAAAGTCATATGCAGAGACAATCATTAATTCATCTGTTATCAGAAGGCCATTTAACCCAGAGCTTATCTGGGTGCACTCAATCTTTCATATCAAAGTATGTTATTTATCTCATAAAGTTTGGCTACAGTTTGGCTCCCAGTTTTTTTTAATTTTTAAAGGCCCTTTACATGTAGTTTGTGTGCACTGACAAATCTGCTTGCCTATGCCAATTAAATAACCCAGTAACTTTAAACTGGTTATTGAGTTCGATTTGCCAGATGGTCTAGGTAGCAATTAGTTATTAAATATATGAAAGAAATGGTAAAAGGCTCTTAAGTGCAGAAGCATTGTGCACTTTGGCCCCTGCATAATTGACATTTTCTTCTTACCTGCGTCAGCTAGTAACAGACAAACAGAATGTCAGAGCCAAGAGAAAGAGATTATCGCTAGGAAAACTGAACTGGCTAAGAAGCAAGAAAGATCTGAAAGCATTTCAAAAGGCCAAATGGCACAATCTGACTGAGTAGCACATGAAACATACAGTAAGAGTTGCGACTTCAGCTTCTAATTTGCATGCTGTTTTTCTATTCTAATTTCCTATTTTGTCATTTACAACTCTATTAAACAGATAACATAATCATGTTTTGATATTTACAGACTTCCTAATTTCATTTCAGTAAGTTTTAACTCCATTCAAATGTCACCATCAACTCGGCACACTTGATAAATCTACAGAAGCAACTGATAAGTCAGAAGACTGGAACACACAAGAGCTATGATTAGTTTAGCCTACATTTATTGGAAGCTTAGTGCTTCCAGTTTGTCAAGGGATGATAGTCATCTTAATGATGCTCAAGGAAACATATTTGCATGGTAGTGTCTGTCAATTCAATTGCATGACTTCTCTGGACAGCATGGAGCCGAAAAATGTTATTAGTGGCTATAACTGTATGAAAAACTTCAGTTTACTTGATGTATGTGAGGAAAACAGAGAAAGATTCCTTAAACAATTAGCATCACTCAATATGCTTAAATAATCATGTGTTCATTGGCTATCCCTTGGGGTCAAGAACCTGAAGGTGACCGATAAAGGTTAATATGGGATTTTCTCACACTCAGGCAGATTGAGCAGGTGTCTCTGGACAACTCTTCCTGATTTGGTCAAGGGATATAACCACCCAAGAGTTGATATGGATGTTGCATTTCTGCAAGTTTGCTTTTACCATATCTTCGAAACGCTTCTGCTGTCCTGCTGGGGTGTAATTGCCTTGGTTAAACTAAGAGAAGAGGACTTTCATCGAAAGCCTGGTATCTGACAACTGAAAGACATGATCAAGTGGAGCTGATGGTGGACATGCATAGCTTCTAACGGATGGTGGTGTCTGTTCTCCTACTTGACAGATAGATAAAATCTTCTGTTTGTAGTGTCGGTGATATGATTTCAGGGCTTTTGAGCATCTCCTGTATACTGTCTGCATTTCAGCCCTGTACAGTGAAGGGGAAAAGATGACTGCAAGGTGGACCATTAATTTTGATGTTGTGATCCTCATAACACCAACTACCTCAAGTGACCAAAGGCTGGACTTTCTGATTTTAGACAAAGTATTTCTTCATTAGTATCAGTTTGCTGTCATAGATAACCCAAGTAAAAAAATCTTGCTGAAGGCATTGGTCATATTTATAAAATTGAACGCAGTTTAATTAATGTTTAGTGAAAGAACATAACCGCTTTCACAAAAGGTTACAAAGGTTACAAATTGATACCTTTTTCTTCTCAGTTTTAAACACTCTTCCCTCGTGTTCTCCGGTTTCACAGTTTTTCCATGAAGAGGCTCTCTGTGTTGACTTAGTCAATTTCTTTTAAGGATGTTTAATACTTAGGGTCAGGCTTCCACATTGACTTGTCTTTTCAAGATAAAGATTCAGTTCTGTTATTTGTTTTTTTATGTTTTATCAGTTATTTTCTCTTATTAATGCATTATATAATTAAATTAACATTTAGAATGTAGCATTCTATATGCCTTTTCATTGTCCCCTCACATTGCCTAGAGAAAAAAAGTGAATGATGTACAGTATCAGTTTGGACATCCAAGTGTTTATCTTAAAAGGTAAAACAGCTGTGAAGAGATCTTAAAACAAAGATATTACAAGTCACCTTGGATGAGGGCATCTGCTAATCAAAATAAGAAATAAAATCAAGTCTAAAAAGTGTCCATCTGTGAGAATTCAGTGTAAAAATGAAATGCATTTCATACATAAAAAGTAATATTCATAAAATGGAGAACAAGAAGGCAGTTCCAAGTCAGAAGACAAAAGATTTCCGTTGTATAAAAGCTAAATGCTGAAGCAAATGACTAACACAGTAATGAAGTATAGCTGGAGGTGGAAAAAAAAATGGATTATCTACTGGGATCAATTATGATAAAGAATCTCAGTTTTTGAGATTATCTTGAGATAGACACATTATAGTAGGTCACTGGGGTGCTGCTGAATTTAGTTTATCTTATTACATTTTCTCAGGTGACAAGTCCCTGGGCTGTGCATGACAAATAGAAACCAACATTTTGTTCAAAATAGTGTCCATAATTGTATCTATTTTGGATCATTAAAGAAAAAAAAGTTTTTATATTTAAGCATCCATAGGCTTTAGTTCTACTTATTACAAACATTTGTGTATTAATAAAATAATTTGGATTATATACAGTGTCTATAAGAAGTATTCATCCCCCTTGGACTTTTTCACATTTTATTGTTACAGCATGGATCCATGATGTACTTAACTGAGAATTTTTGCCACTCATTAACACAAAGTACTCTATAATGTCAAAGCGTGTGTGGGGGGAATCCATCCATTTTACTACATTAAAAATAAACAGAAAATAATTGAATACATAAGTATTCAACCCCCCCGAGATAATATTTGGTAGGACCACCTTGGAAGACCATAGAATCTTCTTCCAAATTGTTGAGTCTCTCACATGCCTGCGGAAAGCCCAGTCAAGATGCGATACAAGTTCCCCCCAACAAAGGCTTTCTTCTTGCCACCCTTCCATACAAGGGAGATTTAAGAAGTGTGTATGCTATTGTTTGCTCATCTCGGTCTCAGTCATAATTAATAATTGCTTACACTTATATAGAACTTTTCTGGACACTCCACTCAAAGCGCTTTACAGGTAATGGGGACTCCCCTCCACCACCAATGTGCAGCATCCACCTGGATGATGCGACGGCATCCATAGTGCGCCAGAACGCTCACCACACATCAGCTATCAGTGGGGGGGAGGGAAGAGTAATGAAGCCAATTCATAGATGGAGATTATTAGGAGGCCATGATTGGTAAGGGCCAATGGGAAATTTGGCCAGGACCCCTACTCTTTTTGAGAAACACCCCTGGAGTCATAGAGGACTGCAATTCTTTTAGAGTTGCCACAAGCCTCTTGGTGGTCTCCCTTAATACGGCTCTGCTTGCCCGGACACTCGGTTTTGGAGGACGGCCACTTCTGGGCAGATTCACAGTTGTTCCATATTTTCTCACCTTTTTAATGATGGACTTCACTGTGCTTTGAGGTATATTCAATGCCTTGGAAATTGTCTTACAGTATATCCTTGCCCTGACTGGTATTTTTCAAGAACCTTCTCTCAGATCTGCTTGGAATGCATCCTCATCCTCATCCTCATCCTCATCCTCATCCTCATCCTCATCCTCATCCTCATCCTCATGGTGTAGTGTTTCTTTGGAAATGCACTAAGTGGGGAAAGTCCTAGACACAGGTGTATTTGTTCTGAAATCATATGAAACACCTCAACTGCACACAGGTGGACTTCAATCAAATAATTACAGCATGTGACTTGGAGGAGAGAGATGGTTACTTCAGAGGTAATTTGGTCTGTCAAAGCAAGGGGGTGAATACTTATGCATTCAATTATTTTCTGTTTTTTAATTTTAAATAAAATAAGAAAAAGGCCGGAATTTTTTTTCACTTTGACATTAAAGAGTACTTTGTGTTGATGAGTGGTAAAAAGTCTCTGTCCGTGCTGTAACAATAAAAGTCCAATGGGGTGAATACTTTTTATAGGCACAGTATTTGTTATACAATATGTACCTGTAGCACATAGTGTTATTATTGTTGTATTCTCTTATTTATTGTTATTGTCATCCTGTAAAGCAATTTGAAAAGCCACCTTTAAAGGCACTATATAAAATAAAGTTTATTATTAAAAATTTTTTTTCATTGTGCAATGTGATAACTTCTTAAGATAAATATAAGATGTATTCTGGTGAAGTAATCGACTTCAATCGTACTAAAGTTCTTTAGTTACCAAAGACGTAGACTGCAGAACGCAGCATTTTTCCACATATTTATGTTTGTATACCTCCAGGGAATTAAAAGTTTCCATTTATTATAAATAGTAATTAAAAGTTGTATTTAGTACACGTACTGTTTTGTTTTTGTTGTTATTTAGCTGGGATAGCTTGCATTAATGCACGTTGCCTTGGATATAGACGACTGTATGATAAAATAATAACTACTCAGAAGGGAAACTAAAATGTTTCATGCAATTGCTTACAAATATATTCTAAAAATATTTGACTTTCTGTTAACTCAGAACACCATAGCGATCTTGTGTTGCGGTCCTTCTTCCTGACTCTAGATGTCAGCCAACACACGGAGAGACGAACGGCGTTCCTTCTGACCGGCAGGTGGCGCCTCTGCAGCACAGGTCTCCCTTCTCCTCAATCATCGAAACAACAAACCGAACAGAGCAAGCGGGGTAAAGAGAGAGAGAGAGAGTCCAAAACCGCCTGTGACCGCCACTTTCAAACTCGGTCGGTAAAATAGCCAAGAAGAAAAATTAACAAAATTAAGCGCTCCAAGGCTTTCAAATCTGGATTACCGCTGCGACTAGGGGCTTGGGGAGTCTGCTGGGGTTGCTCTCTGCGGCGAGGTAAGTTGTAAAATGGCGGAGAAGGTTCTGGAAGTTTGTTGGTTTGTGTTTTTGTTGGTTTGTGTCGGAGGTTCGTGTTTCGGTGTCAGGAAGAGAGGAACGAGAGAGTCGATGGGGAGATGTTTTTTTTAAACGGACTCGATTGGTTTCAAAACGAGGAGCAGACTTAACACCGTTTTATTTCGGTACGCGCAGATCAAACACCAACGATTAATTTCCATTTTTTTTTTCTGTTTGGTATTTTCTCATTTGTTATCCCCCCTAATGTCGGAACTGTTTCAAACGTGACAGCCGCGGAGTTATTGAAACTCAAACTCTGAGGCAAGATGGAGGACACAAGGACGAGATATTTTCAAAACGGGGGAAATGCTGTTAGTTATTTAAGCCACCGGGCTTTGCGCTTATGGAGTATTAAAACCTGTATTTTTACCGCTGTGCTGGTGAATTCGCGCTAGTTGCGGGCTTAGTCGAAGAAGGCCGGAAAATTATTGCGTTTTCAACAGAGTCAAGATGGAGAATCCTGAACAGCTGCTGGGCTGGCTTCAAGATGGAGGAGGATTTTATTTGCTTTTTCGACTATATATGTATTTTCCAGTTCGATATTTTCGGGATCGTAAGATGCATGGCATAGTGTGTACCCAAGGGGACACCGATTGCGTTCTGCGATGACTAACCGAATTACCTGTGAGGAAGTAGTTGGAGAGCTCTCAGAAATTGCGTTTTTTTTTTTTAGGGAAATATGGAGGGACTGTTTTCATGACTTTACAGAGACGGATCTTTTCATGCTTGTTGGCCTTCCAAAGCGTGGAGCCCAGAAAAGCTGTTTTTAAATGTAGTCGTAGGAGGATATACTCTGGATTTGATCATTTTATGTACCGTGTAGTTTGCTAGCGTGTCCCAGCTGAAGAATATTGTATTTGAAGCGGTTTTACCGGCGAGTGGGTTTAGGCCCAGGATGATCCTGAACATTGTATTAATTTTTGTAATGCTTTCGCGGATTTTATGATCAGCGTCCACTTCTGTGCAAGGTTCTTTAGTAATGTTTAGAAATTTGGGACGTGCAGACATTATTTTGTTTTTTCTGAAGTCTGCTTAGGTGGACTTTTTGGCGCCAGATTTATAGTTGTATGAAATCATTAAATTGGGGGGGGGGGGGGGGGGGGGAGGGCGAGCGAGAGAGCATAGGCCAAACAGACATTAAAATACAATCTAAATTGCACAATCGTTTTTGCCGAACGATGTTTTTTTTTCCCCACGACGTTGTGCCATATTTATAGCGTTAATAAAATGTTGTTTGTTTTTGGTCTTTGTTTTCTTTAACCTCCTTTGGAATTTTTTTTTTGAAAGTTGTAACTCAGACGGGTTTTTTTTTTAAACAACCGTATGGGCGCAAAAAAAAAATGAGCACCACTGTTCCATGTCGTGAATTTTTCATGTTTCTCGTGTAAGCATGTCAAAGCACTTGGTTAACTTCGTTGTGTATAGTTACGTACGCACGTTGTGAAATAAATGCATTCTGAACTAAAGTAATGTCCACTTCACATTGTTGCTACTTTTTAAACGGGCATTTTATTAATTTCTTTGTGTCTTCCAAATACAGTAGTAATATTAAGCCACACCCTGTTTATGCTTGGAAATAGTCTTCGTTTCGAAAGGGGGGGGCTGGGTGGCGCTAGAATCACTTCCTTAACCGGGATTAAAAAGGTGAACTTCGACTGGGCTTTATTTATATATGCATCCTTGGCTGGGAGAAGAGTGAAGAGAACAGGCGATCCCTTCTTCTTTTTTCCCCCAGTGTCATGTTAATGTAAGAGGATTCAAGACCCCCTTCCCCTCCTCCCACCGTGCCTGGATTCTAAAGCTTCGAGCCCCCTTGTTCCTGTCGAAAATGCGTCATTTCAGCAGCGCTGACCGGAGTCTCTTTGCTCCTGTTTCGGCTTGTTTACGTCTGCAAATGTTAATGATTTGCGCTGATTGGTCCAGAGGGTGGAAGTCTGGGGGACGGGACATGTCCTTGTATGGAGTGAGGAGGCAGGACCCGCGAGCAGTGGCGAAGGGGTTTTGGAAACGGGAGGGGAAATGAAGGCCAGTGAGGAAACTGAAGGGGGGGCGTGCTGTCCCCACCCCCCCCCTTCCCCTCCTGCCGCTTTTTGATGAACTAGAAATGGTTTTAAAGTAGATATTAATGTCCAGTAAAAAAAATATCCCCCGCTTCCTTTTTTTTTGTCGAGGTTGTGTCGATACCTTTGAACGCCCAGCGGTTTTTCAGCTCGTTTCTTTTCTACATGCAGTTTAGCAGCTGGTATTGCATGAAATAAGTGGGTTAGGCGTTTATGTAATGTAGTTTTTGCTTAGTGTAAAACGGTGTTGAGCACGTCATTGGTGGATTTTAGCATGCCTGTTAGGCACGTTTCTCATGTACATGCTTTTTTTTTTTGCTGTCGAGGCAGTCCTTTTATATGGACCATCGAAATCCCTGAAACCCTAATAAATCATGCACGTTGCGAGGCGCAAGACAAGGAAACTCGACGTAACTAACCGTAGTTTTTAAGGTCCATATTTGGATTTTCCCTACTTTTCATAAAATCCATGTCTGAAAATAGGTTTTGGAATAAATAAAAACTAAAATAGAAGTAGAAGCTTCTTGCCGAGTCATCATAGATTTACCCACATAACAATACGAGGATGTTTTATAAGCTGTGTTTTAATTGTCCAGTTATTGTCGTCTTTTATTCACTTTTAAAACACTTTATTACAGGTTTAGTGTAGTAACCGCCTATGTTTCGAAATAAAGAGACCGATACAGCCATCAAATAATGCTGTATTCTTAGTGACATGTTCTTCTCTAACAAGGGACTGTTTGTTAAGAGAAGCTCAGCAAATTGTTGAGGACAAGCCCAAATGCTGATAGGAATTTAAATGCCTTCAAAAATGAGTCAACATAGATTATATAGTATAGAGTCTTTTTTTTTTTAAAGAAAGCTGAGCCTACCAGTAATAAAAGCTGCAGTAGTTGACGTGGACAATAAACAGCTTTTTAGGGATACAGCTTTTGGGAAAAAAGTCATTTTTAACTTTAATCATACAGAAATATAGTCAACGGCACATTATATAGAATATAGTTTTTATAGTTAGAGTATAATTATATAGAATTTAGTGAACCACCCCCCCTTTTCCTGATGAGATTATTGAAAGTAAGAATACTCTACAGTGTTTTAGCTGTTTAAAAACGCTTTCCTAATTTGCATACCTTACAAGATCAAAGTTTTGGTATGTTTCAATATAAAATTGCAGAAGTAAAGATGGTAAGGCTATCAAAGGATATTTAAAATTAGGATTTAAATTCTCCCATTATTGAATGCATGTCTTAATAAAGCAAAACACATTTATAAGGTTTTGTGGTGCAGCGTATAATTCATAACAGACAATTCTTTGGCAACATAACTACATGCAGAGATATCAGAAACATATGACCAGTTACAAAACATTATAGGAAACATGTAAGGTGGCGTATGGTGATATCACTGCTAACTGTACTTGAATTAAACTACTTATAAGTCATTTATTGTGTTTTGTTGTATTGTACATGTTATTACTTTTATATAAGTAACTATGGGTGGCAGCAGTTGCTTTCCATATATGTATAGAAGTGGTATAGAAATTACACCTGGTGTAATTCAAATACAGGGTCTCTGGTGTACACACTTAAGTTGCTTTTATCTGCTGCATCACAAAGCCCTCACAGCTGCATCAGAGTTAACAAATGACCAAACAGGTGTGTAAATAATATTGATTGAAAGCTTTATCTGATTTAAGATTATCTGACAAGCTGTTTGATAGTGGTTCCTGCAGGATGTTGATAAGTTCCTGTTGCATGCATGAAAAACAACATTTCAGTAGAGGTTTATTAAGTATAGTTCTTTCTTTTATCGGAAAATGGGCACTATTCCCCTATTTAGATGGCATTTGCTATACCTTGATAACTGTCACTTCAGCTTTTAAAAGCATCTCAGAATATCCTCATAATGGAAAACTGTCATGTTTACATCTTACCATCTTACTGCCACTTACTACATCATGTTTATATCTTACCACCTGCATGTAGTACATCTTACAAAAAGTAAGCTATTTCAATGAGCGATGCATCTTTTGCTTTTGTCATAACATGTCATATACTGTATCAGTTGAAAATCTGGAGTTTAAGATGCTGTGGCTGTTTAGCACCTTTGTGACAGACATAAAGTATATATATGTTAAAAAAAGTACTTAAAGTCATAACAATGCCAACTGATTGGGAACAGTATTCATTTTATTTAAGTTTTTTAATCAATTAGTTGTCCTCTGCAATATGGCACTTACTGGCCTACTAATTGTTGGAATTCACTGCTTATGACAGTTTCACCATTCTCTTCAGCAGCTTGATTTCCTTGTCCATTTATGAATCTCTTGTACATGTATTTAGATCTGAAACATGCTGAAATTTTATTGAAGACTGCATAACAATTTCAGCTTCTGGTGCACTCGTGATTTTATAAACTGGGAGCATCTCAGTTACCAATTAAGTGATAAGTAATAGGGGTTGATTGAAAGGAGTTCATGAGTTAAGCAATGAGGTTTTAATGTTCAGTTTTAAATTGTTAAAATGTGGATAACAAAATTCTTACATGCTTTTGTTTTGTTGTTGACTGAAATGCAGGTGTTGGAGCCTGTATTAAGTGATAATAGATATACAATTTCAAAATCCCCTGCAACACTAAAAAATCAGATTTTTCACATGGGTGCTTTTCTAATATATATATATACTAGACTGGTACATTTTGTTATCAAACATGGCAAATATAAAAATAGAAGGTACAGTCAATTGGTTTTCTTAAGTTAAACCACATTAATAAAGGGTATAATGGAATTAATATCAAATTATTTTTGTTAGGTGACCTTGTCTCACACCTAACATGAGTATTTGGAACTGCATGAAGTAGTTTGCATTTGAAGTTAAGAAA